GTGTTCTTTATAAGTAAGGTCTTCCGACAGAATTATTCCAAACTCTTTTACATTGCTTTTTCTTTCAATAGTGTAGTTTGACTGTGTTTTATATGTGTTTTTGTTTTCATGTTTTCGTTTTTTCCATACCACAGTAATTGGAACTTGTCCTCATTAAACATCATGTTATTTTCTGTGGCCCCATTGACTTGATTAACATCAGATTGGAGGTTTGCTGTGTCTTCTATGTCGTCTACTCTCATCTAGTGTCATCTGTAAAGGATGATACGGTACTATAGTTTGAATTTCTGTTTATGTATGTGAGGATGAAGAAAAGTACCGGTGCCAGTACGGTACCTTGGGGGACTGAGCTTTTTACGGTGGATGATTCAGATTTTACTTTGTTTACTATTACACTCTGGGTTTTATTTATTAGGAAGGTAAGGTAATCAGGAGAAAGCATTAAGCCATTGCAACTATATAGCACTTGGAAGAGATAAGGATAAGGATTTAGAATAGAACGGAGCCTATGTTACCTAGGATTTTGTAGACACTGATTCCATGTATTTTGTGATCTTACTTCTTATATTCAAATATTTTTTTATGATTTGCGATGTTAGACCTATTGGCCTATAATTTATTTTTCAGCTTTCCAGGAGTCTGGCCTGGCGCAGAGCGCACAGGCATGCTGTCTATGGTTACTTCAAAGTCGAGTGGTGTTTGGGGTTACAAATGATATATGGCTCGATGGGGGTGCCACATTCATTAAGAATTCGTTAGGATTATTGATCTTCAATGTGTTCAGGGATTCACTAAAAACAGAATTATCCTGTTGTTTCCGATATTCACTCATTTCTTAGTTGTCATCTGTGAATGTTCCATCACCCCTTGCTGAAGGGTTCAATGCAGGACGTAAATTTTCTTCGATATTTTAAGAAAAAGTATTTGGGATTCCTCTCTATTTCGCTTATGGCCGTTTACTCTCTTTGTCTCTCCTGGATTTTATGTGATTCTTACAACTTTATCTCAATCGTTTCTGTTTCTTTACATAGCCTTCTTTGTCATTCTTGAGATTGATTGGAGCATTGATTAGATGTTCTGCAATTTGTTTTCGTCACCTATAGAAGGAACGTCGTTCTCATTCAAGCTTGTATATCTTTCACTTTTTCCTTAATGGTATTTGGTTTGCATATATTTTTAGTGCTACAATACTTATTTTCTCAAGGACCTGGTTTAGGTTTGCTTATCTAACTGCCTTTCCTCAGCATGTTTCTGTGAGGGTTTGATTTATTTGTTTCCAGTTAATTTGTTTGTTATTGTAATTTAATTTGATGAATTCATCTTCTCTTTGATTTGAGACTGGCTACACAGATCTATTGCCCGTACATGTCTGAAATTCAATTAGGGTGATGATCAAACTACACGTAAGAAAGTGATGAAACGATAGAGATTCGGTCCGTCCTGGACATTTTTCAAGCCGTGTTTAATTAGGTTGTAATATGAGTAACAGGTATTTGTAATCATTATGTACCTAATCAGTTCATCATTGTTAGTACAAATAAGAGCTAAGGTCACAATGAATTCACAATTGCATGATATATCAATGAAAATAGTTTTGAGCCGTTGGAGTTACTTGAACTCGCGTTCTGGTGATTCCCAGGCGGCTGCCTTAACTTTCAAGTCACTCCATTTTCAAAATGATTTTCAGGATCTAAAGTGTTTTCTTTCCTAGTTGGTTTTACTATTTGCTGGTCTAAGACAAATCTGTCAAGCATCTACACGAGGTTATATGCGTGTGAATGTTCACCTAAACTGCTTCAAGGGATTATCTCTGGTATAACTGTATTTGCCTAATTTTTTCCATTGTAGGTGCAGTAAGTTGCAGTCGCCAATGAAGATGATGTTTTTGGCAGGGTTTGTGAGCTTTTTAAAGCAGTATTCTATTAATGTAAGTTGGTCTTTAAACTATTGGAAATTTGCAGACGAGGAGTCACAATAACGTGGCTGAAATATGTGGACCAAACCACACACAAGAAAGTGAAGAGACGACGACGTTTCGGTCCGTCCTGGATCCTTCTCAAGTCGATTGAGAATGTCGATTGACATTCAAGTCGATTGACCATCGACTTGAGAATGGTCCAGGACGGACCGAAACGTCTTCGACTCTTCACTTTCTAGTTTATGGTTTGGTCAACATAGTGGAAATTTGCATTTTGAGATCTTTATACAAGGACAATTACCACATTTAGAACTTTTATTTTGAGTATCATCACTTCCACTTTATCATTTGTGGTGTTTAGCAGCTCTGAGGAGATGAGTGAGTCTCATATACAGACTGACCCAATCCTGCAGCCAATGTTTTCTATCACATCTGAAAAGATTGAATTCTGGTATCCATATCTCACTGTCATAGTAGTCCTTTGTGTGAGTTTAAGTCAAAGCTGCAAACATTGCCTTTGCCTCATTAACGAGACCAGTTAGAAAGTAGATTTTGTTTTTGCATGTTTTGCTGCTTGGTATGTTGGCAAATAAGAAAGATGTTATCGTATTTGTGGACGTGCAGGGTATTTGTGGACGTGCAGGGTATTTGTGGACGTGCAGGGTATTTGTGGACGTGCAGGGTATTTGTGGACGTGCAGGGTATTTGTGGACGTGCAGGGTATTTGTGGACGTGCAGGGTATTTGTGGACGTGCAGGGTATTTGTGGACGTGCAGGGTATTTGTGGACGTGCAGGGTATTTGTGGACGTGCAGGGTATTTCACTTGATGATACTTTATGTGCGTACTGGAACAGACGACTTCTGACTCCTGTTAGCAGGCTGAGAGTTTTCCCTTCTCATAGCACATGGTAAGCCTTCCCTACTAGTTTTACCCGGAATACGACCCGCTTTTCATAAAACAAACAGGTACCGAATCACTGCTGGGTGAACGGAGGTGTAGAGTTAAGGATTGACGCCTAGTCAATCCTCCCCCGGCTAGGATACGAACCTGGGCCAATCGCTTGGAAAGAGCAGGGAGAGTGTGCTACCACTGCGCCACGAGAATTGCCGTTGTTTGAATGTTGTCCCTCAGATAGGACCAAAAATATATTCCCTGTTACCACCTTCCTTCTTCTATAAGGATGTATTACCTGCAAACTTCTCTTTTGGTTTGTGTTGTTACGTTTCTACTCGTGTCGTTCCATCCTCGCTCCCCAGGACGGTCCACTTGTGAGGGTTTGGTGGACTTTATGATCTCACAGTAAAGTACTCCTACTATTGTTATGAAATGCCATTTCCTTCAACATTTTTCTTCGCTCTCACATTCTATTGTCCTATTCACAGATAGGTCCAAGTCTGCCGACGATACTCGCCTAACTGTGCTGGCGGGGTGAAGCTTCGAGTCTTTCTTTATTCTAATCTGTCCATCGCCTCTCAACTGGTGTACAGATTTCTGACTCTACTGGGCCCTATCATATCTACATTTGAAACTGTATGGAGTCTTCCTTCACCACACCACTGCCTAATGCATTTCATTAAATAATTATTCGGACACCAAAAATGTTGTTTATAATGTCTCTGTGTCTCATTTGAGTTCTCAGTTTCCACCTGTGCCAGTACCACCCATGTTAAATAATCTGTCTTTATATACCCTATCAATTCCCCTTGAGAACCTTGAATGTGGTGATCATGTCTTCCCTAATTCTTCTGTCTTCGAGCGACGTGAGGTTTGGTTCCCAGTCTTTTCTCGGAGCTGCATACTCCAAGATTGATCTGACATATGTGACTTACAAGGTTATAAATGATAAGCTTCTATGATTAGCTACGCTGTAACGCCTACCTCCGAAAGTTAGTATATTTGCAGCTGAACTGTATACGATTTTGTATGTACTCTGTCAACTGCTTTGCCAAGCACAATGCTTCTTTGCCATTGTGAATGACCATCACACTGTTCTTAAGGCACTGGAGTCATTTACCCCTATGACACTGTGGTAGTCGATATCCAATATTAGTTTTTTTTGTCTAGCAGATTTATCATAGTTGAAGTCTGTTGAGTTGTTACCTTAAATGAGCGTGCGACACTGCCGCTAAGGAGGCAATCCACACTTATCCTCTTCCCAAAAATTCATTCATTATTCAGATTTCTACCCAGGTGTTCATTCATCTATCCGAGACCGTTGACAGTCATTGGTCTGGTGATAATTGTAGCGAACTGTGTGCTCTTAAGTGTAGCCTGAGCCCCGTGGCCTTTCTCCTTCCACCGTGCTTGACAGCTGAGTGGACAGAGCTTCGGATTCTTAGTCCTGAGGTTCCGGGTTCGATCCCCGGTGGAGGCGGAAACAAATGGGCAGAGTTTATTTCACCCTGATGCACCTGTTCACCTAGCAGTAAATGGGTACCTGAGAGTTAGACAGCTGCTACGGGCTGCTTCCTGGGGGTGTGTAACAAAAATAAGGCCTGGTCAAGGACCGGGCCGCTGGGACGCTAAGCCCCGATATCATCTCAAGATAACAGTAATTAGCAGTGTAAAACGGTTCTGGCTATGTTATGTATATCATATGCGCTTAACTCACCGGCACTTAATGGAACGCCGCCATACTCATTATTGTTTGACCTGTATTGTACCGCTTACAGTCGTGCACCTCCTTGTGGAATCTTCCGATCTTCAGGACGGTCGTGACTTTCCAATTATCTCTCGAGGTAATTTGTCCCTCGATAGAATCATTAGTGAATCCGAAAATTGATTTTGCTCGGTTATGTGTTTTTGTTTTCATATTGGCATCTTCAGTAATATTTGGCGCCTTTTAGAAGATGGAATGAAGAATGGAATGTACTGGGCAGTGATGTGGTGGAGGCTGGCTCCATGCGCAGTTTCAAATGTAGATATGATAGAGTCTAACAGGCTCAGGAATTTGTACACCAGATTGACAGTTGAGAGGCGGGATCAGAGAGCCGAAGCTCAACCCCCACAAGCACAACTAGGAGAGTACAATAACTTGCAATCACCACCACCACAATCACCTATAAAACAAATAATCTTACCAACAAATACAACATCCTTGTCCATGATGTTGTCTTTGCACCATTCTGGGTCGTCACTGCTCACTGCGAACACCGGAGACGCTACTCTGTAGGACACGAACACATTAACATTTACTTACCATTCATACTGTGAAGAGTGAATTTAACAGGACAGACATTGGAAACGTCCTTGGGACGACCTCCTGTCCTTGCAGTGAGAAGTAATTAGAAAAAACAATAAAATTCAAGAATTTACCCAAAATGTCTCATATGTACTATAGGAAACGCTAATTAACAATTCCAGAAAAAATTTCACGATAATTAAGAGATTTTCAGCCGTTATAAAAGCCAAGGTGGTGTGTGTTTCAGGAGGACAAGACGGCACCTTGCCAGTGGCCATCAATGTTCCTCCTCGTGTAGAAACAAATGACATTCAAAATATTAATATAATATAAATGACTGTGGAAATATTATCATTGAATGTCTCACTAATATGCTCAGTTGACTTTCTCATTTATATGTATCACGTTACTGTGATTTCTCTATGAATTAAGGTTAGTATTATTTAAATTGCAAGGCTTTAGCTGGCACAGAGCAGAGGCGTGTCTCAGACTGTGAAGGGTTGGCAGTATGGCCGCCCCCGTCCTTCTGTGGCAGGTCAACTGATATTCCCAGAATTATTCTTGCCGGCAAAGTTTAGGCTACAATAACAGTAACATATGATCATATCATAATTTCAATCTGGGATGAGCAATAAGATAACTTTTTCACGCCTCGTAACTGCTCTCAACCACCCTTATTCTACTTAAGTACAACCTATTTGGCCAAACAAGAGTATACGAAGGTTAGGGTTTCACTTAGCTTGGATTAAGTGTGAGGCGGACATCGGCCATATTTCAGGCCTTAGAGGATATTGAACAGCTGCAACAACAGGAATTCTCCCGAATGCAATGGCGGCTTAAGCGAGAGTGTCTTCCTCTCACAAGAGAGACAATATTGTTTAATATTTTTTGGCGGCATCAAAATTTTATCATTGAGAAATACAAACCGTCATTACTTTTACTGGTCTGTCCTTAAAGAACTAATTGCGTTTCTGTTAAGATATAATTTTAAAATATTATTAAAGTAATGATGGTGGTTGATTTCACTGCTATGGTATAAAGCCGTAAGCATGTTGTTGAGGCTCACCAAGCCGCAGGCAGCTATGTTATGAGCTCCCTTACTTATTTATTCATTTGTGAACAGAGAACTTCATTCTCATAAAGGTAAAGTATCTAGATTACAGTATTTTATATTTATGGATTATTAATTACTCATCACCATAGTGGATATTATCCACACTTTTCTAATTTACTACTTGGGTGGTAATTTACCAAAGTTGTAAATTACGACCCATTTCTTTGATCATCTAAGTGGTAACTTACTACACCTTTCTTATATCATGTAAGTGGTAAGTTACCACTTCGATCATAAAAGAGAGTGGTAGTAACTTTCCACTTATGTGATATAGGAAAGGTGTAGTAAGTTACCACTTAGATGATATAAGAAAGGTGGTAGCACTTAGCACTTAAATGATATAAGAAAGGTGTAGTAAGTTACCATTACTTGCAGGCGATGAGTCACAATAACGTGGCTGAAGTATGTTGACCAGACCACACACTAGAAGTTGAAGGGACGACGACGTTTCGGTCCGTCCTGGACCATTCTCAAGTCGATTGTGATGAGGACAAGACGTCCTCATCACAATCGAATTGAGAATGGTCCAGGACGGACCGAAACGTCGTCGTCCCTTCAACTTCTAGTGTGTGGTCTGGTCAACTTACCATTACTTGATATAAGAAAGGAGTAGTAACTTACCACTAAGATGATATAAGAAAGTGGTAGTAAGTTACTACCCCTTTCTTATATAATTTAAGTGGTAAGTTACGACCCCTTACATTAATCATGTAATTAGTAAGTTATTACCACTTACTTATCTTAACTTGACAGTAAGTTACTACACCCTTATGGCATTGAGTTACAAGATACAATCCCTTAATTATACCGTTTACCTAGTAAGTTATTCTTCCCCACATATATCAACATATATTATATATGTTGCACCTAAGATATCCTTGATAATGTTATCTGGATATTAAACACATGTGGTATGTGTTTATTATTTGCAAAAATCGTATAAGACACCAGTAACTATTCCTTATGTTAGAATTATTCAAATAGCTTCAAAATAAGCCAGTTTAAATTGTTATGGACATTTAGTGTTCAGCTACAGTGATATGATATGAAATGAAAAATCTACTTACCTATGCCTGAAGAATTTAAATGCACGTTGAAAATAATTCTTTTTCAGTGGTGTTAATTTATAGTTGACTTTTATATAATTTAAATAGTCTGTCCTTCGAACGTGGACGGTGATTATGGTAATATTTTTCGTAGCATTGTTGAGTAGACTTTTAACAGCATGATTAAGTTGCTGTTTAGCTTTGTTAAGAATTGTATCATGAAAAACCAACTCCCGACGAAGCTGATCCCTTAGCGGAAGTAATATGTACCAAGGACACGGGTTATCGTCAATATAAACAGATTCACTCAGTGGATAGGGAGGCAGCTTTGAGTCAACTAGAGCTCTACCGTTGGCAGAGTTCTGTACAGAAAGCTTCTTGTAGAGGGTGGAGAAATTATCCTTTGAGGTGGTTCCATGAAAGCACTTCGGGTCTTCAACTGGCAGACTCAGTTTTGGGAAAATTTCTCTTAAATTCTTATTCATATTTTCCAGAATCGCAACCTGCCGGTAGAAATGCAATAATTAGGACATGTTTGTTGCTAAAATTTCAAACGCATATTTCTGCACAGTTTCTCGTCAACCAGAAATGTAACATTGGGGGAAGGGGAAAAAGAGAAGTAATCATACACAGGTAAAGAAACAGGAGGATAATGGAGGATGGATGTCAGTCAAACATTGGATAAGGCAGTGGGCGGTAGAGTTGCCATTATCCGGTGCTGAGAGGTGAGGTCTGGATCTGAGCGTAGGCAAGAACTCGAAGTCGTTACTCTGTATATTTAGGGTAGGACTTTTTTTTTTATGAATATAGCTTCCAGTATTTGCAGTCGTGTCTGGTCAGTGGTGAATGCCAGGATTGTTGTATTGTATGTGCTTCCTTCCTTTTTTCTTCCGCTTTATTCGTGCCCATTTACGTCCCCCTATTTATGCCCTGTTCTTCCCTTTTTTACGCCGTACTCCTGTCCTATTTGTATTATGTAACTGATCTTCCTAATGGTATGAACTTAATTCACCTGTCGTTGCTGGGCTGGTCACACTCTCGGGCATAGTGTCCCTTCACCCACAGTTGAAACATGGTCCCACTCTCGGAGGACTTTCCATAGTCACCTGGACCATTCCTCTCTGTGACGTCTCACTCTGGATCTTCGTAAAATTCTCAGCACTGTATTCACTGGCCGAGCTTCCTGCACCAATTCTCGCACCTGTGCTACTACTCTTTGGCTTCCTCGCAGACTTTCGAACACTCACGTGGGCGTCAGTCATACTATTTGGGTTGTATGACTCACCAGGTCCATACCCCTGAGAATTTTACATAACAGATGCTGTGTTTCCAAAGGACTACTATATAGTAAGGAAAGAGAGGGAAGGGAGAGGAGGTGGAGGAGTGACCCTGCTGATAAGGAAGGACTGGAGTTTTGATGAGATGGAAATTCCGGGCTATGACGGCTTCAGAGATTACATAACAGGAACTATAACAATGGGTGGACCTAAGATAATAGTGGCAGTCATTTACAACCCTCCCCTAAATGACAAAAGACCTAGACAGGAGTTTGATAGGAACAACATGGCAACCATTAATATAATGGAGAGAGCAGCCTCAGTTGCCTGCAGGAATGGCTCAAGACTCTTAATCATGGGCGATCTCAACCATGGAAAGATAGGCTGGGAGAATGGGGTCCCACATGGTGGTGCAGATACATGGAGAGCTAAACTCTTGGAAGTTGCAACAAGGGACTTCCTGAGCCAGCATGTCAGGGGAACCCAGAAGAGAGAGAGGCAATGATGAACCAACTAGCCACATCCTGATAGTCACCCTGAATGAGTCAGAAATAAGGGAAGTCAAAGTTGAAGCCCCCATAGGAATGAGTGACCACAGAGTACTGATTTTTGAGTATTTGGTGGAGGTTGGGACAACCTATCCAAGGATGGGATTGGAGGGGAAAAGACTAAATTACCGAAGAGGAAAATATGACGAGATGAGGAACTTCCTCAGGGGAATACCATGGGAAACAGAACTTAGAGATAAGAATGTGCAGGTCATGATGGATTTTGTCACCCAGAAGTGTCAGGAAGCTGCAGACAGGTTTATCCCCGTCCAAAAGGAGAAAAACAAAAAACAACAGAAAAACCCATGGTTCAACCAGGAATGCAAGGTAGCGAAGCAACTGAGTAAAAGAACATGGAGAAACTACAGAAATAACAGAACACCGGAGAGCAGGTAGAGATACCAGAGGGCCAGAAATGAATACCTCCGAGTGAGGAGGGAAGCAGAAAGTATGAAAATGACATAGCGAGTAAAGCCAAGACACAACTATAGCTGCTCCACAGCCACATCAGGAGGAAAACAGCAGCGAAGGAACAATTGATGAAATTGAAAAAAGGGGAGAACAGATACACAGAGACTGACAAGGAGGTGTGTGAAGAACTCAACAAGAGATTCCAGGAGGTCTTCACAATAGAACAAGGAGAAGCCCCAGCACTAAATGAGGAAGAGGCAAACCAAGCAACCTTGGAGGAATTTGACCTCACCAGTGATGAGGTCAAAAGATGTCTGCTGGAGCTGGATGTGACAAAGGCTGTTTGGCCTGACAAAATCTCACCATGGATGCTAAAGGAAGGTGCAGAAGCATTAAGTGTGCCACTCTCTATGGTGTATAACAGGTCACTGGAAACAGGAGACCTACCAGAAAGTTGGAAGACAGCTAACATAGTCCCAATATACAAGAAAGGTGACAGGCAAGAGGCCCTAAACTACAGGCCAGTTTCCCTAACATGTATACCATGCAAGATGATGGAGAAGATCGTGAGGAAAAGGCTCATAGAGCATCTGGAGGGAAAAAACTTCGTAACACACCAAGAGCATGGGTTCAAAGATGGTAAATCGTGCCTCAAAGGTTTAATAGAATTCTATGTCAAGGCAACAAAAATTAGGCAGGAAAGAGAAAAGTGGGCCGACTGCATTTTTCTGGACTGCCAGAAAGCCTTTGATACAGTACCTCACAAAAGGCTGTTACAAAAGTTGGAGCAACAGGCAGGAGTAAAAGGGAAGGTTCTCCAGTGGATAAGGGGTACTCAAGCAACAGGAAACAGCGAGTAACGGTGAGGGGGAGACATCTGAGTGGCGAGTTGTTACCAGCGAAGTCCCACAGGGCTCAGTACTTGGACCCATCCTGTTTCTAATATATGTAAACGATCTTCCGAAGGGTATAGACTCGTTCCTCTCAATGTTTGCTGATGATGCAACAATTATGAGAAGAATCAAGACAGATGAAGATAGACAGAGACTATAGGATGACCTGGACAAACTGAAGGAATGGTCTAGAAAATGGCTGTTAAAGTTCAACTCAGGAAAGTGTAAGATAATGAAATTAGGCGAAGGGAGCAGGAGGCGGAACACAAGGTACCATCTAGGAGGTGAAATCCTGCAAGAGTCAAATAGAGAGAAAGATCTGGGGGTTGATATCACACTGAACCTGTCCCCAGAGGCCCACATCAAAAGGATATCATCAGCGGCATATGCAAGACTGGCGAACATAAGAACTGCCTTTAGACACTTGTGTAATGAATCGTTCAAGACCCTGTATACCACTTATGTCAGACCAATCCTGGAATATGTAGCTCCAGCCTGGAGTCCATGCCTAGTTATACACAAGACAAAGTTAGAGAAGATTCAGCAGTATGCCACCAGGCTCGTCCCGGAACTGAGAGGTATGAGCTACGAGGAAAGGCTATAGGAGCTGAACCTCACGTCCATGGAAAACAGAAGAGTAAGGGGAGACATGATAACCACCTACAAAATTCTCAGGGGAATTGACAGGGTGGACAAAGACAAACTCTTCAGCACGGGTGGGACACGAACAAGGCGACACAGGTGGAAACTTTGTACCCAGATGAGCCACAGAGACGTTAGAAAGAGTTTTTTCAGTGTCAGAGTAGTTAATATTAATAAATGGAATGCACTAGGCAGTGATGTGGTGGAGGCTGACTCCATACACAGTTTCAAATGTAGATATGATAGAGCCCAGTAGGCTCAGGAATCTGTACACCAGTTGATTGACACTTGAGAGGCGGGACCAAAGAGACAAAGCTCAACCCCCGTAAGCACAATTAGGCGAGTACAATTAGGCGAGTACCCCACCCTTACCTTTCCCATCGCTCATCCACGGGCGATCTTCCTCCTGTTGGGCGGGAGCCTGGGTTGGCTCTCCCTCCGAGAGCAAAACGCCGCCTCCAACATGTCCGCCCTGTCAGTCGTATCCATTAGTTCTTTATGTTTGCTTCTATAATACACAGCCTGGCATCTGAGTGTAGCAGCAACATGATCTTTTCCATCACTATCAGCTGCTTCAGGTCCTCGAAGGTCCCACCTCCTCGGCCTTCACCCACTTTAGGAAGCTACAATCGAACTTCCTAGCTGTCTCTGCAAAGGTCCTCTCCGGCGCCCTTATGTGCTCTCGAAACCTTTTCCGATAAGCCTCTGGTGTCAGCTGGATGGACCGAAGAACGCTACTCTTCACTTTGTTGTAATCGAGGCACTCCTCAATGTCTAACATATTGTAGGCTTCACCAATCAAACTACTTGGAACCAACTTTGCCAAATCCTCCTCCAGCCATCTCTTCAAGGTCGCGACCCCTCTCAAAGGTGGTTGAAAAACTTTCCACCTCCTGGGGAAAGTGACGTACGTCCATTCCTCCTGAAGCAGGAAGGTTCCGCTCCCTGACATGATGCTCGTCACAGTGGACAAGAGGGAGGGTGGGAGTTATCAGGAGAAAGCGCCAAGCCATTACGACTATGTTGCACTGGGAAGGGGTCAGGATAAGAATTTGGGATGGGATGGGGGGGGGGGGAGTGAATGGTGCCCAATCACTTGAACGGTAAGGGATTGAACGCTGACCTGCATAAAGCGAGACCGCCGCTCTACCGTCCAGTCCAAGTGGTTGGGTCAACGAATAGGAGGATGAGCATGCTCGACTCGCCTCCATCTCCTATCTCCTCGTTTCCTCTCCTCGTTGCAGCAGCACTTGATGTTCTTCACACTGTGGCTTGCATTCTTGTTTTTCTCATTGCAACTGTTGGCTTGTCGTTGCTCCCGCTACAGTCTCAACATCTGTAACCTCACACTATTGCCACTTCCACTTGAGCTTTTCAGGGGGTTTGGATTTAATGAAACTGGTATTGAATCAAACTGATACTTGCTTACCAACGATCAAAGACCCCAACCACTCATTAATAAAAGTACGACCGACCACAGCAACCACACTCCTGCTGCCGTCGGTCGAACAGAAATGGAAACTGGAGTGCTTGCAATTAGTTGGGAGATCATCCTGTAATCGTCTTGTTCTAGGAGAGGGGTTCAGAGTCACCTTCATTTAAGAGTGCAGTTCCACACCGGCCTAGTTGTCATGAGTACATACCCACTCGAGCCTCCGTGACTCCCCCACACTCTCCTTGTTATGAGATGATCTCCTAAATCCCCCACTTATGAGTTCTTGACCACTGTCAC